AAAAGACATCCCAACCATGAAGTACAGCTTGATTTGCTTTGTCCTCAAGAAACCTGCCAAGGTCTTCATGCTAAAAGTGGTGCTCATTTATCTTGCTTTGATGTTCCTGACAGAATCACTGGTAGGGCAGGACTGAAGGAATTGGAAGCCATTAACCCTTCAAGAACCTGGAACTTTGTGGAAATTAATGTTACACTAGAGGAATTGAAAAAGATGAGGAAACAGCGCATTAATCACTTAATCTATCCGCTGGACACGGTCTTGGATGACAGCATTGGCTGTGCAATTTGGTTTGCTTCCAGAGGGGAGGGTTTTATTAGTAGCCAGGGAGAACTGAAACCATATAAAAGTCCTGCAAAGGTACTGACTTTTTTGTTTGTTTATTTTCTGTCTTGTGTTTGTAAAACATAAGTTATGACTTACGAACGTAAAAACAGTTCTGTTGATTCAGAAATCAGGTGGTACCTTTGCTATTCATAAGGTTTCTGAAATTCAGTGACAGAATGTAGAATAGTTCTGTAATTATAATCTTTTTGTAATTCTAGAGTTAAAAACTGCATTCAGTTCTTTTGTCATGTGATGTATATGGCTTTCCAGAGAACTTGGATAAACAACAACATGACTAGGAAAAAAATAGTAACCATCATCTATAATTTTCAGTGTTTCAGTTCCAATGGTGGGTAACAGCTATTCAGTCCAAACTGCGTTAACAAATTTAGAGATAAATGTTAGTGAATTATTAAGTAATATTGTTTTGTGCCAGCATCCCACCACTTGTCAAAATATCTTCTTATTTAGGCATGCTGTTGATGTGATAAAATAGCAAATAGCATAGGCAGAAAAGATCTTGGCATCTTTTGTCATTAGAGTCTGAATGACAGAAATACAAAAACTAGCTCTTTCCTTTTTGTAACTTATCTGCATGTATGTAGTATGAAGTAAAATATTTTTGGTAACTAGGTGATTTTCTGGGGAATTTGATTCTGATTTCTCACTTCCCTATTTCTGATGATTTTCGGAGGGAAGAATGAACTGTTTAATTTCAGGAATTTACAAGCCAACCCCCACCTCTGCTTTTTGAGGCTCCTGTTACTTTTCTAATAATTGCTAGATCCTAAAACCATAAGAAATCCACCAACAACAGAAACCCCAACAAACGCAATAGTTTGCTTAAAAACTACTACTGTAGAACACAGCTGATACAGTTGGCAGATCTACTTAAGGATGTGCATCTCAGATTTGCAAAACATACAAATTCATCCTAGGTCCAGAATATGTTGAAATGGGTCATGGGTTAATAAAACATAAAGCAAAAGTGTCATTTTCCCATCAGTTATGTACGGCTGTGTTGGTAAAAATATAGTTGACCACTAACTGGTATCAGATTAGTAAAACACACTTGACTGTTTGTTAAAAGACTTCCACTTTTATAGTGAATTGCTGCTGAAGGCACAGCAATGGGCCAGATGTGGTAGTTGGTTTTGTACTTACTGAGGAGACAGAACATTCTGAGCCATTTTTATTTAGTGTAATGCAATGTACTAACCCAGTATCTGGTAAATTAATCTGGGTGTACATTCAGATAGCTATTTAGAATATATGACATGATCTTTGGAAACAAATTTTTTTTAGAAAGGCTGGTGTTTAACAAATGCTGTTTATTGTAATAGAAATAACAAAGACATTCTTCAAAGATACTGGTGTATTTGTGGTGCATAGGACGTTATTTTGACGTTTTTTCCTTGGATCAGTAGAAATGTTTGTGTGTACTTTTAGGTCTGATTGTGAGCCTATTGCAAGTTTCCAGTGATTTTTATTGGAAATTGTTTCAGACTTTGCAAATGTGTAAGGCAGGTCCCATTGTGATAGGTAATACCTTTAGAGGATGCTTATTAAAATGAATATCCTTAAGATGTAGTTAAACATTTGAGATTGTTACATATTAACTTGCCCAGATACTAAGATTTGTTGCATCCTGTTTCCTTAGGTTGTGCTTACAGGAATTGGAGCAGATGAACAGCTTGCTGGGTATTCTCGACATCGTGTTTGCTTCAAGAAATACGGCTTAGAGGGTCTGAATAAAGAACTTGAAATGGAGTTAGGTCGCATTTCTTCCAGAAATCTGGGCAGAGATGACAGGATTATCGGTGATCACGGAAAAGAAGCCAGGTATTATTGTTTTAACATGAAGCAAAACTGGTTTTGCAGGTTAGATGCAGTTTCTAACACTCCAACAAAAAGCTTAATTGAAACTTCTGTGTGTTTTATTCTCTAGTTCTGTTGCAATCTTGCTAACGTGGTGTATTGTGTTGTGGAGTTTTTTGGTTTTGTTTTTAAAAAGGTAGCCTGTAGTACTGTGGAAGAGTTTCTTAAGGAAATTTAGTAACTTGACTTCCATCCAGAAGTTTTAAGAAGCAGCAAAAGATTAAACAGGAGAAATCAAGTACGGTTTATCATTTTAAGTGGAAGAGTCTTGTGCACAACTTTGAGGTGTTCTTGTGTGGTCATTTAGGGATTGATTTTAGAGAATGACAACATAATGTAAAAGCTGGGTATTCTTGTCCATGCCATGACAATATCCACTGCGTTTCCTGGTGTTAAGTCTGAATAGTTAAAAAATCCTTTTATTTGTGTTTACTTCCTCCATGCTGCCACGAACTTGCAAAAAATTCCCTAGTTGTTGTCCAGTAGCAGAGGCCACTCAGGTGAATGAAAGGTTTTTTCCTGTGATCTTAGTGCCAGTGTTTTTCCAAATCTGTTCTTAGTTGCACATTTTCAGTGTAGCACAAGAGCTACAGTGGTGGACAGGCAATGCTGTTAATCATGCATGGGATTAGGTATGAATGCCTGGAATTCAGAATGGTGTCAGAATTTGTTGTGTAAATATTTTTGTTTTGAAGTTACAGCGTAGCTTCACACAGTAGTTTTAAATACTTAGGAGCTATTTTGAGAAGTGTTACTTAAAGATTTGTCTTGCCCTTCTGTTGTAGTTTCTGATGTTCTTCGTGATTTTTCTTCTGTATAAACACACCATTTCTGATCCTTGTTTTTACTGTTCTCTTTGGTTGGCTTTTGAAAACTTCCAGGCTTCTGAGTGTAAACATGATATATTATGGGGTTTCTTTCTCCAGGACCGTGTAACTGCTTTGGAGAACTGTCTCAGTACTGTTATACTAAGATTTAAGGTACATCTATAGTTAGGAATTGATACAGACTCTGAAATCTTTGCACGTGGTAAAAGGGAAAACAAAAACCACTCGTATGAAATTTTTAAAGGGTCTTTCCCCACGTGTATCTTTCTTTCAGGTTTCCTTTTCTTGATGAAGATGTTGTTTCATTCCTCAATTCTCTGCCTGTCTCAGAAAAAGCTGACTTGACTCTGCCTCGAGGAATCGGGGAGAAACTGCTCCTGCGCCTTGCAGCCAAGGAGTTGGGCCTCACAGCCTCCACTGTTCTGCCAAAAAGGGCCGTACAGTTTGGATCTCGGATTGCAAAACTAGAGAGCCACAGGGAAAAAGCATCTGACACGTGCAGCAGGCTGAAGTTATTTTCAGTAGGTGAATTATAGAACTACATCTTGAGATATATCTAGTCTTTTTGCAAATGCAGTAAATCTTTGGAGTTTTCTTGGGATGTTTGGTCTGGTTTTTTTACGCACTTGGACATTATTATTATTATTAATCATCAAGCTAATACATGTAGATGTGTACTTTTACTAGAGACTCACTGTGAATTCACCCCTGGAGGGAAGGGAATACTGGGCTTTGGGGAAGAGGAAATAGCCAGAAGTTGGCTTTCCCACCCTTCCAGTGTTGCCAAAATGTTGAGTCTGTCCAATTTGTCACATATATTGAATTCAGTACATTGCTTCGTGGTAGAACAGGGCTAGTCCTGCAGCTGTGCTTTAGAAGAAGGTTTGGGTTATGGTTGTGGAGGGGAGGGCATGGTGAGGAGCTGGCCTGGGTTGCCAGAGCCAAAAAGAGCTGAGGGTCTGGGGTCTTGTCAGCTCTTGGGAGAGCTGCCCTCCAGACATCATCAGACATCAGAAAACAGACATCACACACATCCCCTGCGTGTTTTGGGGCCATCCTGTACAACCTCCCAGAACTGTGGCCAGTTCTGCAGGGATGGGTTGGTTGGCAGTCCCCAGCCTGGGGCTCCCTATGTTCCCAGAGAAACTGGGAAGTTCCCTCCAGGCTCTTCTTAATCCATTGTTGACTCCCTAGCTTGCTCTGTCTCTTTTTAGCTTTAGCTCTGCCACTTTTGCTTTTAATTGTGTCCTTCAATGAAGATCTCTTTTAAACAAATCAAAAAAAGGGTCTCCCTTGAAAAAAAAAAAAAGGCACTCTGGGTGGGTATGTGGATGCAGTCATGGGGTTGAAATAGCAATATGAATGGACTGCCTCTGAAGAAAAGCTTGAGTTGGCTTGTCTTTCTGATTGTGTATGGAAGGATTGCATTGTGATTAGCTTTACTGAACTTCTCTATTAAAAAAAAAGAAGAGAAATCTAAAAGGCACTATCTCTATACCCCAAGTTTTAATTTTGTGTAAGGAAGAATAGGCTTCTTACACCAGCAGCAGAAAATTAGGTACTGCTGAAATTCAGTTGCACTGGCACAGCAAACACATTGAGATCTGTTTGAAGATCTGTGCAGTCAACTGTTCTCTGCAATCATGGAAGTGAGGATTTTTTTAACATGTAATGTCAATTATAAACTTTATATGAATTATATATTATATTGATAAGTTATCATATATATTATAAATATATGAATTTATTATAAGTTATGAAGTGTAAACAATGGAGGTATTTTCCTTTGTGTAAGTTCCTATTTATTAGAAAGTGCACTTTTAATTTTTTTTTTTTCAGTTGTTTTAATACCAAGAACGCTTAGTTGTGGAATAGTAACTGGAATCACTTTGGTGATAGGACACAGCATTTGTTTCTCTGACAGGTGATTTTCAACACTGGTAAACAAAGTACTGTCAGTAAACATAACAGCATTGAAACAGTTTTTATTGAACAATTTATATTTGCATTTACTAAGTTACTTTTTAAGATGCCAACCATCGTATCTGTTTTAATTTTGGCACCTTGATGGAATCTTCTTCAACTCTTTTGGAAATATCAATTCCAAGGGGAGCTCTAGAAAATAAAATTATGTATCTGTTAAAAATAACATCATTGCCATATCAGACAGATGTACAGCTTCACAGACCCTTTTTACAATTACAGTATTTCTGCACATTCCCTGCACCATTAAAATGGTCTGGCTGAAGCTGTACTTAGAAACATCTTTACACTGAAGAAATATTTGCATTTCTAGCGATGCCAAACTTGGGAAACACAGTTGTGGTTTCAAAGCCATCTTTTGGGGATGGGGATGTTGTTAGATTCCGATTTTAGTTGCTTTGCAACTAAACTGCATTTACATGCAACTGATGAATGCAAGATACACTAGAGATCTACAGGTATCTCTTTATATGATAATCTTAAATAATGTATTTTCTACAGCAAGTGAAACTTAGTATTTTATTCACTGATATGTATACAGCAAGTTATTTTTGAAGAAGAGTATCTTATAATTTTTCATGTGAAAATTATAATACAATTTTTTTTTTGTATTGAGACCATCCAAGTCTGTTTTCCTGAAAATGGAAAGGGAAAAAAAAACTGAAAAAAAGCCCAAGTTTAAGACCAGCTGGTACTTTTGAAATATAAGAATTTTGTTTGGCCTTAAGTATAAGATCTATTTAAATCCACAGAGCAAGCATTACCCAACTAGTCGTTAAAAAAATCAGTATTATCAGTTAAAAAAAAAAGTATTATCAGATGATATATGTTAAATTCTTTTTTTTAATTGATTGCTCATTATGAATACACAGTTGGACTTGGAGCAAGTGGACTTATGCCTGTGGTGACTGAGAAGGTAAGGGAGAGTATTGCAGCTTAACTGGCTCCAGTTTTCCTGTAACCACAGTGATAGCAGGAAAACACACAGAACTGTTATGATGTGTGGTAATTTAAGTTTCTGAGCCAAACCGAACTTAAATGATCACTTGTAAGTCACAACTACGTTGAACAGTAACTTTTATAAGTGTTGCAAAGATGCTCCTCAGCATCTTCTGCCACTTTTTAGTGTAACCTCGTTCCCCTTTCACTAACAGACTGTGACTGAGCAGTCACTTACTTGGGCTCGTAGCGGATGCCGTCGGTCCCGTGTAGAACACCAAGTCCTGCACGTAACCTTTCAATGCCATTCCTGGGCAAGAAAGCAATTACATAAAATATTTGTCACAACTCTCTGAATATGGCATGTGGTTCAGTCCCCACGAACAGAAGTTCTTGACTCTGATGTCAGCTTTTAAAGAACGTTATAGAAGCACATGCAAAGACAAACAACTCTTACCATGCAATCATTACACCGTTATCAGTGCACAGTCTCGGAGGAGGACACAGTAAAGCAAAATCATTTGCTTCTGCCAAATTCTGTAAACCTTTTCGGATATACTGATTACTTGCAACTCCTCCTGATACAACCTGACAGCAGTGACAAAAAAAGGCATTAACTCAAAAGTACTGATGGGTCACACTCAACTAGCATCCCGTTTAAAAAGAGGTTATCAGTTCAGAAGACAGCAATAAATAATGCATTTGAAGATTAAAACATATCAGAAAAGAGTATGCTAAGTGAGCTTGTTATGCTAAAAGACATTCCTGAATAAAAGCATGTCAGTCTAGTGGAAGGAAGGTTGGAACTAGATGATCTTAAAGGTCCCTTCCAACCCAAATCAGTCTGTGGTTCCACTGGAGCTACAACAGCCATCAGTACTGTGGAGCACAAGGTCATATTATGTGGCCTAAGGTTTTATGGGAGGTTAAATTAGATGGTTAAGAAAATACCTTTCTAGCTTAAAACCCAACTGTGAAAGACTTCATTGTAAATATTTATATCACTATTACTTCAATCCTGATATTTTAACAATGTAATGCATACTGAGATCTTCCTCACCTGTCAAGGCAGGGAGTACAACAAGGCATCTGCATCTTCAAATGATGTTACACAGTCAAACAGAAAAAGGAAGAAGAAGCATACCCACCAAGGTTGCATTTTTTGGTGGCAAGATGCTATTTTTGGTGCAGAACAGCATGGCCCGATAGGTGCGCTGGATGATGTGAACAGCCACTGCGTGCTGGACGGCAGCAGCAACATCCCCAACGCAGGACAGGATCTCACCTTCCTCAGTACCTACAAAAATGTACGGTCAAAGGGGTTTTCCTGAGTCTGGGTCTTCAAAACCATGGTTTATACCTGACTGTTTAAAAATACCTTCTTCTTTTTCTTTTTGTGCAATGGCATTATTGACGAGGTTCAGAAGTCCAGAAAAAGAGAAGTTGCAGTTCCGATACTGGTTCATGGGCAGTCGGAACATGAGCTGTTCCTGGTTTCCAGTCTGAGCCAAGTGCTCTATCGCCTGCCCCCCAGCCATGCTGTGGCACTCTGGGTGCTTTCTTAAAGACAGTCTTCTTGCCACCTGAGGAGAGAATAAACAGACTTGAAATCAGTTCCTCCTGTAACTGCACCACTGTATAGGAGTCCATGGAATAAATCCAGACACCACAAAATCCAATCCAGTGTGAAATTACAAACAGGGCACAGTAAGCACAAGACACAACACCAGCTGGATTTTTTTTTTTTGCTGGAGTATTTAGAAATGCGATTTTAGAACAATTTGGGCAAACAAATTTTGTAGGAAACATTAATTACTCCCATTTTCAAGCTATAGGAAACACACACAGACTGCCATACTGTACTACCAGATACACAGGAATAAAGTTGGTTTCAACTTTATACGGTCCCCTTTCTGACTCTCCCAATTTTTTACTTAGTATGCACAAATACTGTTTAAAACTCTATGTTTGAGAACAAAACTGTAAGTGACCAATTTTACAGACTGTACTCAGTGACCCAGAAAACTTAAGATTCTGAAAGCCAAGCCACGCTTTTCAAACTGTAAGCAATAAAACTAGTATGAAATGTTTTAATACGTATTGTTTTAAACCTGACAGCATCCTTTAAAATAGCACTGCCAGTCTTCTCAAATCCATACAACTTGTTTGTATAATCCGTGTCAATGAAACTTCCAACGCCAGTTTCAGTTGTTAGGCTGCCTATTTACTAAAAGTATAATCAATGTACATATGTTACAATTGATGTTATGTGTACATTTTTAACAGACTCTTGTGTCTGTTCAAAATAGAAAAAAATCCTGTTAAGTGAAGCTCATATTACACTAAATTACTATCCTTGGGCTGATGATAATACTACCATTATGTAGTATAAATGCAATAAAAAAAAGAGAAAACTAGGTTTACTTATGTCAGGAAATATTACCTTATCCAGCATGTCACCCGGTGCAATATCTATGGACTGTCCAAGCAGAAGGAAATCTGACACTCCTTGTGCTACTGCCAAGATACAGTGGCCTCCAGAGACCAAAAGAACCAAGAAGGGAAATTCCAGGTGATGTGTGAGCCTGACGGTCAGCGCGTGAGCCTCCATGTGATGGATGGGTATGAACGGCTTCTGGTGCCTGTTCACCAAGGCCAGGCTGTACTCCAGCCCCACCCCAAGGCTTAGAGCAAGTCCAGGTTTCACTGTAGTTGCAACAGCTGCAAGCTCAGCTACAGAAACGCCACTGACACGAAGCGCCTCTTCTACCACTTGCTCGATGTTTTCTCTGTGAAGCTGCTGTGCCACCACAGGAATTATTCCACCTGTTCTAGTAAAACCAAAGAATTACAATCCACTGGTGTTTTATAACAGATAGAATGGCATAAAAATGGTTTTCAGGCACCTCTTAACCTTGCCATATCCTGCCTGTCTCCTCAGTGGATTCTGAAATGCCTTGTTTAGTGTAACGGGCACTGAAGAGAGCTAAATTATCACTAGGAGGTCAGAAAATGATGTAACCTGCCCTTTTTGATACAGGTACTTCTTAACTGCATCTCAACACTGTTCCAAAACAATGTAATATCATATTCACAACCCCTTGCTTATTAGTTCAGGTTCTTAGCCACCAATGCTTATATTTATTTTCACTTAAAAACACTGAGACATTTGGTGGTCTTAACAGTAACAGCGATTTCATCTTTACTTCAAGCTAGAGAGGTAATCTGTCCCCCTCTGAAAGAAAATAATAGAAGAAACTTTTGAAATGCTCATTTCTTTCTTCCCCCTTAGTACTATCTCAAGCAGTAAGTATTGGAGCCCAAGGGATATGTCTTCCCACCCACCTACCTCTTACTCATTTTTATGGAGCAGGGAAGACTTCTGTGAATGATATTGCAAGTAATAATAACAAAAAAAGTTATTAAGGCAAAAGCCTTCAGAGAAGTATATTCTTACTGTAAATGGACTTCCTTCTGACAGTGCAGGGCTTCTCCCAGGACACAGCCGGCATCATCCACCACAGCAGCACCCGTGTCGTCACAGCTCGTCTCTATTCCCAAAACCAGCCTCCGAGAACACTGTTTTCCAGGGCGAGATGAGCTGCTTCTCAGCCACGCAGCTCGGCCGTGTTTAACCGATTTCAAAAGGCTTTTGGCAATACTGTTCATTGTTAAAAATCTACCTGGCAGTTATGTCTAGAAGAGAACTGTACAGTTTATTATTACTGGAGGGTTTTCAAGCATGTGCGCTGCTCTGATTTTCCGAAGAGGTGGCATTACTTTTACAGTTATGAATGGCCACGCATCATATTCAAGGTACTAAGAAAAAAAAACAGCCGGGAGCCAACGTCTTGTTTTACCTTAAAGAGGGTAGAGTTCCTCACCAAGCTGGTTGTGTGCGGTGCTTCTGGCAGCCCTACGGGCGGGACTGAGCCCCCGCAGCAGCACCGCGGTGTGTCCGCGCCGCTGCCCGGGCAGCTCTGTGCTCTCCGCCGCTCCAGGGCCACGGGCTCGCCCCGATCCCCGGAGGATGCTCCTCCCGCCCGGCGGCACCTCCGTGTCACGGCGCCCCTGCACTGTCCCCTGTCGCGACCTGTGGCCGCCGCCGCCCCCCCGCTCTCCCCGGCGCTCGGCCCCGCCCCGCCGGGTCACAGGGCGGCGCTTCCCGGGCACGGCGCAGCCGCCGAGCCGCAATTCCTTAATCCAAGGGTTTTGTCCGGCCGCCCGGAGGTATCCCCGCCCCCTGACCTGCGGTCCCTAAGGTCGGTCCGTGTCTAAAAGTCCCTGCCACTTGTACAAGGCAGTGACCGTCAAAGGCAGCACAGCCTTGTGATGGCCACTACTTAAAAATCAGTTACCGCCTCCTGTCCAAATAACGCAAAGAACTCATTACTAAGTTGCTGAAGAAAATTCGTAACTCATTGCCATTTCTTCACAGTACCTTTATCGGTAAAGTAAATAACCAGAAAATTTCCTTAGCAAGAAAAGAAGTACGCCACTGTGGGCTTGTCTTTTTTTATTTTTATTTTTAATTTTTTTTTTTCCAGCTCACTGGCTGTCACTGCAACCAAAATGTAAATCAAGTCTTAAATGGAGTCTTCTGTTAAATCTGAGCCAGTTTTGGCTGACAGACAAACGGCAGACTTCAAAATTCATCCTTTTTCCAAGACAGAGAAATAAGTGCTCAGAGCTGTAGATGTACCTTCTTCACTCTAATTCCAGAGCTGATTACATACAAGAATACCCCGTACTACACGGTACCCCTAAAACACAGCATTCCTCCACATTTCCAAGACATGCAAGTTATCTTTTTCTGCAAAAGCATACAGTTAGTCCATGTGATTTGCCTACTCACCTACTTCTAGTTCAGCTTCTATTCTAACTTACAACCCACCCAGTTTCCCTTATATGCTCTGACACAGCTGTAACAGAGCTGCTTCTCCTACACCACCAGCAACTCTTTCCCGACCCCATCACAGGCCTCTCAGCTACTGAAAAAAACCCCATCAGCCAATATCAGAGAAAATAGTCAAAAGTCCACACCTAAAAAGAAATTCCAATTTTTCAGGATGTCCCTTTTACACATAGAAAAATCAGTGTCCTGCTAAGCAAAATGAAAATAACACAACAGCGGCAATTTTCCAAAGCATACATAAACCGAGCTATCAAGTTGATGTGGAAATCCCCTGAGCTGGCAGTTAAGGACTTTCTTCGGTCATTGTGACAAAAAAAAAATAAATCACAAGAACAGAGAAGGCAGGAATTACACCATCAGTTTATGCTCACTGTCACAGTACTTACTGTGAGACAAACTTTTACAAATGCAATAACAAGCACAACCACCTACAGTCCATACAGCAGGAACTAGCTACTTTCACTTAACCTAAGAATGCAGCCTCACCAGTCCCTGGCATTGAGGATCCTGGATTCATATATAAAGTTACCATCTGCATTATGGATAATGGGCATTTGTGAAACACTGCTCTCCATTTCAGCTGTTACGTGCACCTTTCTTTACAAATCACCTGCTCAGCCACATGTTGAGTCTTAGCGGGGATTAGGCTTTAGAGCTGGGCCTGCCCAGCTCTTCATGGAAATCTCTCTTCCACAGGTTTCCAATTCACATTTAAGTATTTGAAGGCAGCTTCTTATAAACTCGACTTTCATCCCAGACAATGCTGCAGGAAGCAGGAATTGTATCTCAGATGTAAAGGCATCTCTGACTGACTATGACGAGATACTGGGCACAGCAGACTACTCGTTTCCTTCACCCAGGGAGCAGCAGGAGCCATGTCAGGGGCGGCCAGTGTGGAACCTTCTCCTTAGTATTTATTGATGCCAAAGATCCGAACGCCATGCAGCTGTGGCAGCTTGGGGATGAGCACGGTCAGGAGAGAGGCTGTGTTCAGGATAAAGTGTGTTGGATCATACTTGGTGTAGAAACTCGTCAGGAAGTACCTGCAGGAGAAAAAGGAGCAAGCTTAGCTGATGGCACCCTGGTCTAAAAAATAAACAAACAAAGCAGAGTTGAAAGAAGTGCTTTAGTAATCAGTAAGATTTTACTGACCTATTCCTGTATTAAATATCTCACCTGAGGTTCTAGAATACCTACAGCAAAATTATGGTCTAAGTCTCTTCTTCCCATACTTCTCAAGGTGTTAAAAAGCAACTCACCACCATTATTTTCCTCCCCCACCTCTCCCTGCCCATTTGAGTCTGAGTCTGACTTCTGCACCTACAAGTCTGATTTATGATTCAGATTTTAAATAGTGTAAGATCTGCTACCAAAATATTTGCAGTTCTGCTACCCTAGCAAACTCAGTGACAAAGCATTCGACATTTTTCAGTGCAAAAATTATTTATGCTGAGCACACCTGTGACTGGTGTGATTTTAAAGTGCTTCCCATCTGACAGATGTTTCCAGCACATTTTTCTTTAAAGCTGGTTCACAACCTGTTCATCTAGAATAAGGAAATATGCCTCAGAAAACCCAATTCACTACCAGCTGCTTTGAGCCTGTAATTTCATCCTCATCATAGAAATGAGGCAATCAGATTGTTGGGGTTTGGGGTTTTTTCCCCAGCAAAACAGAGATGTTATTCAGCTACTTATACATTATTAGTGCATCAAGAGAACCATACACTAGTGTTATGAATACAAAACTCCTGCTGCAAAGTGGGGACCTATCCTTGAAAATTTTTTTTGAGGAATTACATATATTTTTCTCAGGTTTTATCCTTTATGGACCAACTCTCTAAACATTACGCAGGATCGTGCCTCCCCCCCTCACTCTGCCATGCAAGTGGACAACTTTCTTTAGGGAAAAACAGAAAGACTTTTAGAGTTGGACATTTAATACATATCTGATTTCCTTTAATTACTCAACCCTACTTTTGTCAACACAGACATGTGTGTAGAATTTCTAAGCCATTTACAGAATTAGTGTAAACAGAAGACAGTAGGTACAAAGCCAAACTGACACTGGACCCCATGCAGTGAGGACTGACACACTCCTCCAAACTCAGAAGTTGCAAAATGGTTAATAAATGCTGTTACAAAGACAATTGATTAAGATTTTCAATATTCATGACTACACAATCTCTTAAAGAACTTCAAGAGTTACCAGTAAGTTTTCCTCACGACATTTCTAATCTTTAAAACCTGCCCCATAACTGTTTACAAACTTTGACTTCAATATGTGGAGTGTCAAAAGCAGCAGGAAGAAAGATTGTTGATCACATGGCCTATAAATATGTACTCCCTACCTCTGTGATGCAGAAGTAAATTAACAAACAATCAAGCAAGAAAAGAGAGAAAATGCTTTCACAATATAAATTGCAACCCATTATGTTGCAGCTTTTGTAATTATGGTTTTATGATTCAGTTCATCCATAATACGGTTTTGAACTCACAGAATTATAGGAGAGATTGTGAAGAACTTTCTTGAAGATGTGAACTGTACTCCATAATCCAGTTGTTCCCAGTGTGTTAGTAGCCTAGCTTTCCCCTGATCAGGTGTTTCAAAAGGAGTTCCCTTTACTGCATGCAAAAACACATACATTCCCTGGGGAAAACAAAAAGTGAATACAGAGGCACTTTTAGTATATTTTTTTATAATTGTTACATTGTTCAATGCATTGTAAAAAAAAGAATACATGTGAATTCTCACCCAGAAGAGCTGCTGGCCTGTAACAAAATTATTGAGGAGCAAGGAAGGGACAAGAAGTGATTTGCCCAAGACTGTGCAGTGAGTGGCACAGTCAGAGTTAAAGCCAAAGTCTGTGTGACATCTGATCCACTCCCTTGTCCTCTACGTTAGATGGCAAAACTTCCATGAAATCAATAGAATTTTAAAAAGCACTGTAAGAAGTTTGGGGTGGCTTATTTATATTACCACAGTGTTAAATGAGTGATGAGGTAGAGTCTGCACAAAGCAAACATCTACCTACAAATACTGGCAATATTACAAAACTTTCAGAAAGCTTTCTCAGCCCCCCACCACCTTCAAATCCCTAGAAGCTGACTACAGCAATCTGTTGAATACCATCTGTCCATCTCTTTGCTGCCTCTCCTTAACCACTCTGGACTTTCTACGTTCCTGTTCCTGTTTGATGGGATCATGCCATGCCTGGTCTGATCTGAAAGATCAGTTTGGGCCTGGTTTCACATAGGGGAGTACGCCCTTTTTCAGTTCTAAAAACCATTTGTTTTCTATCAAAGAGAGCACACCAACTCCAAGCAAGAGACTCTAACAGAAAATATCACAGACTGCCTTATACACATACAAAAAATCTTATAGAAAGCTTTATACAGAAACAAGATCACATGAAGGTGAAATTTCAGCAAGTCACTTCATGTCTCATTCCATTTTTTTTTGGAACAGCCTCCAGACCAGAGGCCTATGAACCTAAGACAGTTGATTTGTTTAATTAATTTTTGGATTCCTGATGTTTGCAGTGTCTCCATTTTAATAACCAAAAAGAGGCTTTTAGGACAGATCCAAATGCTTACTACACAATTTATTTCACGCTGGTACTTGCAGAAAGGACCACCAAAAATGCTTTCAAGGTAAACTAAGAGTTTTCCATTAGTGGAAATACAAGATTTTTTTTTCTTTGTCAAACCATTCAAGGATTTGTTTCCAAAAGAAGTGCCATTTAAATGCTGAAATATCCAAAAAGTGCAATTTATACTTATCTTCTAGTGTTCCACTACCAAACTACCTGTCAGTGCATGCTCTCATCCCTGTTGTCATTACAGCTACTTGCAATGAATTCATTAAGGCATGTGGGAAATATTTAGTAATACTTTTCTCTGCCAACATCTTAAATGTCTGACATGTCTGATGGTGTCACAGATAACATACAAAATGCTCTAATGACACTTACAATTCCACCACTAGTTTTAAACCTATCTACAAAAAGCTCAACTAAAAATTAAAATTTTACATGACTCAAGAGGATATTATCCATCCTCAGTCTTTACTGTTGTAAATGAGGAAGGAACTATCTTTTTGTCAAGACTTCTTTGCTGTTAATCTGAGAAAGGTGAGTTAGCAAACCTCAAGTATGATGTAAATTGCTGGATTATGGCCCTTTTTTCTCTAAGCACTGAGGACCAATATACAGAGTTGCATTACTTTAAGTGATTATAACAAAATGGAGAAAGGAGCAGAAAGATTCTCAAGATTGCCAGCTTCCAAAATCTTTTGCATACAAAAGTCATCATGCAAATCATGATCCACTGAATAACAAATGGTTTCAGGGCTTGGGTCAAAGTAGCCCAGTTTTTCCCACTGCTGTCAAACAAGATTTCTCTTATGTCAAATATAGTTATAACCTTGTATGCTGAAGTCATTCTGAGCTACAGTTTACCTAGCTTGGCCAGAAATCAAAGCTAGAAGAAACAGAACACAACTATTTCTGTCCAAGAAAAGAGGTAAGGTGCTGAAAGTAAACATTTTGGAATACTATCAGATTTAGGTAGAAAAATCAATAGATAATACCCAAGAATTAAAAATGTGATGTTTTATTGATTCAGCACAGCTCTCTAATAATATACAGAACACTGTAAAAGTTGGTCGGCATGATGACTTTATGTTTGCAACCTTCTAGCTTAATTAAATGACTTTTAAAAGAATACATAACTAAGGACTATTTCACGTCTTTCATGCCTAAATCAAAAGTGATCAACTATCGCTGCTCTGTTCCCAAACAGCCAATTATCTGTGGATAAGCCAAGCAGAGGCGCTGTTTGGGCCAGCAGGATTTCATTATCCACACAGACTGGCTAATATCCTCTTCCCTAGGTACTGAAAACGAATACACGTGAACAACTTCTCGAATTCTGTTGCACGAGTGGTTACTTACCAGGTTGTGGATCACATTTGTTAAAGTCCAGGCAACGGGGACACTAAAGAAGGGAATGCTGAGCAGGACAATGTGCAGCATGCCCACTCCGAGTGCGTATGTCAGCCACATTCCACGACTGTTCATCACCCGAGTGTTTGGATTCACCTCGCTGTGGGCAACTCCTACGTTCATTTTTACCCTACAAAACAGATCTGTTTGAAGATTGAGACTGCTGTTACAGAGGAGTACTTAACATATGCCATTTTCAAATGTGGGAATAGGCTGTTTTAAATGATCAGGTCTGGAAAGAACACAGTGCATAAACCAAGATGTACCTCAAACTCTATGGTTCATACAGAAGTCAATGCAAAAGGGCAGTTAGGAACTGTTTGTTAAAAAAAAGAGCAAACAAATAAAACTTACAAGCCTTTTACAGAAGGAACATTTAAAAAAAATTGTAAGCTGTGCTACGAGGCTGAAGTTGCAAACCTGTAAGAAACCAAGCTTATAACTTTCATCTTCTGAATTAGTTTCTCCATCCGTGACAATATCCAGAGTTCTTCTCCACTTCCCGTATCAATTTTCCTCCTGTTTCTTGTTCATGTAATGGTTAGTAAAGAATTCTGCATATACCAGTTGCCCAGCCACCTACTGCTAGAAAGAACAACCAAGGACTAATTCATGCCTATTTTTCTTGCAGTAGAGTGCAGATTTCACATATTCCTCCCTCACTCATCTGTTATTTTTCAGACAGACATTTCCATCTTTCAAATGTGGCTGAAATCAGAGCACGGGTTCAAAAGTTTCTAAGCAACAGACACATGCAGACACACAGAACAATTTCATATTTAGTAAAAAAATTGACAGAACTTAGGGATGGTGACACTCTCATCCTGTTGTAGTAAAATTTGTAATGATAATTTAAAAAAAAACCCAATCAAACCATTGCTTACTTCATCCTCACATGATCTGTAGGACTATGTATATTCATTTACGGGACTGGGAAGGAGATATTTTTTAACATTCATCTGAATCAGACTACAAAAGCACCGTTTAACCAGCAAAAGCAGCTTGCTTTTGGTAGGAAGTTTGTTTCTGACACCGGCTTAGTGCTGCAGAGAGTACAAAATAAACACAAAATACCCGAGGATTTCGCAGTATCAACCGCGGTAAAATAAAAACAGACGCGATGAACCCGAAAGCGAGCCGGGGCGGTGCCGACATTAATCAATCCTTGTCGCAGGGCATTCGAACCGCGCAGGGGACACGTTACCTGGGATGGGCGACGCGAGGCCGTTCCTCCCTCCTGGGGATGCAGCGCCCGCCGAGCTCGTACCTAGAGAGACATCCTGGCGTGACCCACCATCCCTTCCCACTTCCCCTCACCGTCCCCGCCCGACCCGAGGGGCAGCTCGGGTGTTTTCCCTGCCATCGCCCCCCTCCCGGCCCCGCCGCTGCCCCGGCCCGGCCGTGCCCGTGGCCTTCTCCGCGGCCCCGGCCGCCCGTCCCTCCCTCCGCCCCCCGGGCGGCCCCACCTTTCCGCAGCCCCGCGGAGCCGGAGCGGAGCGCGGGGCGCCGGGCGCAGGTAGAGCCCGCGGTGCCCTGGGCAGGGCCGGCCGGGGGCAGCGCAGGGGCCGGGCCAGGCCGCCCGCACCGCCCACGGCAGCGGGAGCGGGGCGGGCGCGCAGGTGGCGCAGCCGCGGGGCCGCCCGGGACGGCGGGGAAGCGCCGCCGCCTCCCCCGAGGCTGAGCCGGGCCTGGGCCGAGGCCGCGCCAGGCCCCGGGAGCAGCGAGCGCCGGGTGGGAGCGGCCCCGCCTCTCGCAGCGAGAACCAGGAACTGCGGACGGCTCGTGTGGTTTGGGGTAAACTCGAGAGACCGCAGGGTTTGTCTGCAGCTTGTTGCCTTCCCACCCCCATAAACCAGAGAGTTGCCTCAGTTGCTGGACCCCTGAGGAAGGCGGCTGTGTGAGGGGGCGGTCTGGGTGCAGCTCCAGACGTCCGTGGGGCGGGAGCCATGGAGTTTAGGGAGGTTTTGTTCCCGGTTTTCCTGAGGGTGTGCAGCACCGCGCCTGTCGCTGGGGTGTCGCACTCGGTGCGAAGGGGTGCAAGGGCTGCATCAGTGATGGGGCCCACACACGGAAAATACGGAGCCTGCCCACGGATCACTGTGGTAACGTGTCGGTCAGTGGGAAGTACAGGAGCAGTGTGGCTTGAGCTGAAATGTGTGTCTTTTAGCTAAGTCATCGGAGGTTGGATGCATTTCCATGGGTGGGAAGGCCCCAGTGGTCCCTCCCTCACAGCAGCTGTTCCCGAGATGTGCCCAGCGCTGCATCCCTGGGTTTGGGCCCAGGAAAGGGAGGGCACACGAGAGCAGGTTCCTCTCCCAAACTGCCTGCATCAGGCACATCTCATGGAAAATTTGTCATTGGGGTCTGCAGCGTTTCTGTTTTAATACCCTCCCGTGTCTTAGTGTCGTTTCATGGAGATATCCAACTCCCATCTGGCAATTGCCATGAGTAAATCATGAAGCACTTGACACAGGAGTCCTGTACGATGTGTGAATGTGTGAGGGAACCTGCCTCAAAACCTGCCTCTCTGAACACATGTACATAATTAATATTGGTCCGTCTTCAACAACACATGTCTTCTCATGCTCCTTTTCCAGTTTGTGGAAAACCAATTTGTTGGATCTTTTTACCAGATATGCAAGGAAAACTTCTTTTGCAATGTAAATAGCAATATAAAGAGAAAACCTCTTTGTAGCTGTTCTTAGAAAAGTTTTAATGGTGCTTCCTCTTCATGGCACTGGTTTGCTTTTTTTTTCTCCTCTCTAAGTAACCACATTTTTGCCTTTTCTTTTATGTTTGAAGAGTGTCAGTCTTGAAGTGTCCTGTAATTGTTGTATAAGTTGCATATACCCTGCAGGGTAGTGATGCCCAGGGGTGTTGGCTGCAATCCCTCACCATATCTTGACTGTGTCAGGAGGAAATCTGGGTATGTTCCATTCCTCCACGTGTGCTCATATCCTTGGGATGGGTGCTGAGTGTGCAGTCTGTGTTCTTCAGCATACACCTTGGACTGAATCAATGGGGAAGCCAGGACTGCCAGGATAACAGTGTAAATAACATTACATAACATAACCCAGAGGAGAGAAGAAGCCTGTTTGGACCATTCTTGAGGTTCAAAGAGCTGTCTAGCAATGATCTTCCCCCTCCCTTTCTCATATGCATGAAAAGCTGTGGCTGAGTTCTTTGTGTCAGGCTACAAGGATCAACAAGATGTTTGTCCTTGGGCTTGGTTACTTGTGTTGATTTGGGTGCTTAAACAGAAATATATACTAAAATTCAGAGATCCACTTACGATCTTTTTATGTTAGAGTGTCTCTATAATACAGCAAGAATTTTATAACCCTTTGGGTTCCAGTAATTAAAAAAAAAGAAATCTCCACTGGTTGATAATGTGAGAGATAGAAAAGAGAGAGTGACACAGAAATAAACTGACCTGCCTGAGGACACATGGTACATCAGATCAGAGAGGCAGGGTTGTAATAAAGAAGTTTTTTGGTTTGGTTTTTGTTTTTACTGGTAGATCACATTGCCATTGGATATGACTTTCCCCTCAGCACCACTTTGTTGCCTCCCCACTTCTTTCCCGACACCTACTGACTGCAGAGAAAGCTGGGACCTACTATAACATGAAAATTTTACTCTCCAGCCGTAATGTTGTGCTTTGTTAACATTTACATGTTGCTGTGAAATGGCTACTTAGAAATGTGTATTTGTAGCAGTCCTGTTACACCCTTTTTCTTTTATTTTCTGTGCAGCTTCTCTGAATCTTATTCCACTATGAAGCAGCTGCCAGGAGAGACTATTCGTCTCCTTTCAAGTTCTCAGGTGATTACTTCAGTTGTCAGTGTGGTGAAGGAGCTGATAGAAAATTCCTTGGATGCCGGTGCCACAAGTATTGATGTTAAACTGGTAAATCCCCTTTCTTTCTCTTACAAAGAATTGGATGTAAAATAAGATGCAAGGAAAGTTGTTCCACTGCAAATGCATTTTTTAGGCCATTGTGATTTGGGGAATGGCAAGGTATTAATGGTATTTATACATATATGTTTTTACCTCATGTAAAAATGATCCAAAATTAGTTTCCATTAATGTTTTTCAGGCCCTGCTGAAACAATAGGGCATATTTCTACTTCTGAGTGTATCTTAGGGAAAAACCTGTCAACTTCCTTAATATTTGTTTTCCTACTTAAAATTTAATTTTTATGACTAATAGGTAGTTTTAAAAGATGTTGAACTTAAGTTTACTGCTAGACTGACATATTTAATGCTCATTACAAAATATTGTAAGGAAGGTGGAAATGGAAACAGTGGAAAAGGTTGATGGCCATGCTAGAGTTTTTTGTAATATAAATTACCACATGGTTCCTAAATGAGAATGGTTAGCTCTTGCTACTTCTAGCACTTCCTTTTTATAAGTTGTTAAAAAAAGTTGGCATGTCACTGAAGGATAGTTTCTGACAATAGAAAATCTTACTTATAATAAAGAATTTGATTTTTTTCCCAAATGGGGCAAAATGGCCAACTGATCAGCTATTCTTGCTGTCATATCTCTGTTTTTGCATTGTTTTGTCAACAGCTGTATAGTAGCAGTGTCTCCTGCTTAGTAAGAGAGAAGTGTTGTAACATCCCGTATAAATGGATGTATCCAGAACTGCATCCAATTTCCTTCAGTGCAAATAATCGTATAAGATATTATTGAATTAAGTGTTAGACAAGTGCTTTTCATTAGGAGGGCAATTCAATTTCTGCTTGTTTCTTTGTCCATGTCTCTGCTACCTTTTTTGAATGTCTTGAGTGTCTTCCATCTGAGAATGGTTTCCTGCAGATGCTGAGAAACAGGCTCGTTTGCTACTGCCTTAAGTGACCTGAAGTTACTCTGTCTTCGCTATGGTCTGTCATGACCTCTGTCTTCTCCCAATATTTAGATTCCATAGAATCTTGCTCATGAGTAGCCCCAAAGTGAGTAGTGTGTGCACAGTTGTGGGGGTCAGGGTGTTGGAATCAGTTCCTGTGATCTGATTGATTGATCTGATATTGATCAGGCAGTAACTGCAAGAAGTTAACAGAGACGGTTTTGGAGCCTTCCAAAATGGGTGAAACAGAGCTTGTCTCTTGTGCTGGTGTGCTGTTACAGATGTGTAGATAGCTGGAGGAGAAAGCTTCTCTCTAATCAGTGTGGCTTTCACGGCACAGCAACCACCTGTTTTCATAGTGATAAGTCCCAAATCAATTAAAGACAGTGTTTTCAACCATTTTCAGTGCATGAGTCATCTGCATAGTTACATTCTTTGTCAGTCGAGCCCCGTCCAAATCAGTGTAGTTCTAAAGAAACAAACCTGGCTTTACACAGGTTGTCAGTGAGTGAAAGAGGTTTGCTGATTGTTCTTCTGTGGGTACTAGGGGAGAAGCAAAATCCTGCACTCTGTGCAACTCTAGACAGTAATACTGTGAAACAATGAATTTTTTTCTTGGTATTCTTTTATGTGAAATTTAAATAATTCTGACTGTGTAATAGAGGTCAGTGACCACATTAACTCTGGATTAGTTCAAAGTCATAACAGAGAAGGGAAACTTTGAAATTCCGTTTTACAGCTTGATGGCTTTTGCGAAACTGCAGCATTTTCATTGATTTAACCTTTTTCAGATGGATTAGGAAGGCTAGTTGATTCCTTCAGTCTTCTTACCCAATTTGCCTGAACAAATATGGGAATGACTTTTGAGACAAACAGGCAGGAGTTAACTTGTGGGTGGAATGGTTCTCAGGTAGAAACCATGGCAGTGGTCAGCTGTAGTGGGAAGCTTTGGCTGGTGTTTTATTGTTGTTACCTTCTTGATTGACCAGAATCCCATAGGTGATGTTATTGAGCGTCTTTGCACTGTGTATCAACATGAATCATACTGTTTGACATCAGTAATCTGGCAGAGCAACCTAAACATCTCATAGGATCATAACCTCAGTAGTATTTAGGTCATGGAGGAAGGTGTTGCAGAATACAGAGTTTGAGCACTGTAATATTTACGTAAAACGTGTGCAAGTGAAAATTAATAACATTAGAAAAGAAATAGAGAATCATTCATGCAACATTTTGATTCAAGATAAGTCTCACTTTTCCTAAACAGGTAAGTGGTGTGGAAGTAAAAATTTAGAATGGAAAACAGTGGCTTTTTGTAAAATTCTCAAATCCTTCCCTAGCACATACAGCAGCAGGGTAGAAGGCTTCCTGCCTATATCTCCTTATGTGTTTTTATGTTCAGTTGAGGTGTACTGCTTAGGTTCTGTTTTGCTTCCCAATAGGAGGTTGACTCAAAGATAAGCAAAAGCATTGTTTTTTCACCTGAAGACAGCTTTTGCACTGTTCATTAATACAGCAAGTGAAATGTACCCACATTTCTGTTGCGTATTGGTTAATTAAATGTATATGGTTCTGTGTGTACCTCAGAGGCTTTTGATGTTTCCTAAAGCAGATTGTTGTGAATACAGATAATATCTTTAGATGCCTTCCTTTTGTTTTTAATTGCATCTTTTTTTTACTTCAGGAAGTAACC